ACGTGGACGTGGTAGAATTCTGCCTCTTTCGGGGTGCTTGTTTAGAGTGAGTCCCCTTGCCTCTCACTATGCATACTTTGCTATTGTTAATCTAGCTATTCAAAAGGTTTTCGAAAGTTGCACCGTTCGCATTTATGCAATAATTGAGCCTTCTTTGGAAATGGGCCACTGTGCTGAGCAAGACATTTCGTGGAATCGCTTCACAAGCTCGTCTTATGCGATTTTCCATATCTTCTCTTGTTGTTGGTTCTTCTTTGAAAACAACTTCTTTCAAATAGCCCCAGAGATAAAAATCGAGTGACGTCAAATCAGGAGAACGAGGAGGCCATGCAATCGGACCCTCTCGACCAATCCATCGGTTCGGGTACCTTTCATCTAAAAACCTCCTGACTATACGTGCAAAGTGCGGTGGTGCACCATCCTGTTGGAAGAACATCCTTCGCCTGGTTTCCAAGTCTACGTTTTCCAACAAATGAGGCAATTGGTCTGTGAGCAAATCGAGGTACGTATTTGCATTCACAGTACGTTCGAAAAAGAATGGACCGACCAAGTATCCATTAACAATCCCGCACCAGACATTGAGGCTCCAGCGGTGTTGATTGTCAATCGCTCTATGCCAGTGCGGATTGGTATCGGACCAATAATGGCAATTATGCCGGTTCAACTCCCTTGTGTTCTTGAACGTCGCTTCATCGGAAAACATCACAAATCTAAAAAAATTAGGGTCCCGATCGATCTGCTGTAAGGCCCACCGGCAGAACTCGAGGCGTCGATCAAAATCGGCAGGTAATAATGTTTGGGTCAAAGTGATATGATAAGCATGGTACTTCCGAGCCTTCAAAATCCGCAAGAATGTGGACTTCGGTATTCCTGTGGATACCTCCAGTCTACGGCTCGAAATATGAGGATCGAGATAGACCGATGCCAAAATAGTCAGCACTCGAACGTCATTCTCGTCATATTCGTGATGACGACGTTGACGTGTCATTTGCCCAGTACGTGCCCTCGTGGTCAAATTTCTGATCGTCACGTTACACGGATGTTGTCTCCTCGGAAAGCGCTGAGCGTAAAGTGCTGCGGCATTCACATAGACACCTCGACATTTTCCTAAAATATAAATCATATCAACGATCTCATTGAGTGTATAATCTCCCATTTTAATCACACCAAATCTCTGCTTATTAATACTAAGAGACAAGCTGTATGATAATAATTGAGTTTTATCTCAATGAACAATATTTATTATACTAGCTTTATAATAATTATTGTTATAATTATTATTATCAATATTATTTTTGGGCGGATAATGATAATAATAACAATGATAACACTATTTTGTATTCTCAGCGAATAATTCCTTACGAGTGAAAAATGTGAGCATTACGCGGAAGCGACGTGGACATATTGTATTTCCCTGCGTGCTCCTACCGGCCACATGTGAATGCTGCAGCACTTTACGCTCAGCGCTTTCCGAGAAGACGACATCCGTGTAACGTGACGATCAGAAATTTGACCACGAGGGCACGTACTGGGCAAATGACACGTCAACGTCGTCATCACGAATATGACGAGAATGACGTTCGAGTGCTGACTATTTTGGCATCGGTCTATCTCGATCCTCATATTTCGAGCCGTAGACTGGAGGTATCCACAGGAATACCGAAGTCCACATTCTTGCGGATTTTGAAGGCTCGGAAGTACCATGCTTATCATATCACTTTGACCCAAACATTATTATCTGCCGATTTTGATCGACGCCTCGAGTTCTGCCGGTGGGCCTTACAGCAGATAGATCGGGACCCTAATTTTTTTAGATTTGTGATGTTTTCCGATGAAGCGACGTTCAAGAACACAGGGGAGTTGAACCGGCATAATTGTCATTATTGGTCCGATACCAATCCGCACTGGCATAGAGCGATTGACAATCAACACCGCTGGAGCCTCAATGTCTGGTGCGGGATTGTTAATGGATACTTGGTCGGTCCATTCTTTTTCGAACGTACTGTGAATGCAAATACGTACCTCGATTTGCTCACAGACCAATTGCCTCATTTGTTGGAGAACGTAGACTTGGAAACCAGGCGAAGGATGTTCTTCCAACAGGATGGTGCACCACCGCACTTTGCACGTATAGTCAGGAGGTTTTTAGATGAAAGGTACCCGAACCGATGGATTGGTCGAGAGGGTTCGATTGTATGGCCTCCTCGTTCTCCTGATTTGACGTCACTCGATTTTTATCTCTGGGGCTATTTGAAAGAAGTTGTTTTCAAAGAAGAACCAACAACAAGAGAAGATATGGAAAATCGCATAAGACGAGCTTGTGAAGCGATTCCACGAAATGTCTTGCTCAGCACAGTGGCCCATTTCCAAAGAAGGCTCAATTATTGCATAAATGCTGACGGTGCAACTTTCGAAAACCTTTTGAATAGCTAGATTAACAATAGCAAAGTATGCATAGTGAGAGGTAAGGGGACTCACTCTAAACAAGCACCCCGAAAGAGGCAGAATTCTACCACGTCCACGTCGTTGTCTCTGGGTAATGCTAAGTGTAGAAGATAATTTGGCTAAGTGTAGAAATCCCCGTATACAGATACGATTTTCGCATGAATACACGTACAAGTTTCTTTTGACTTTGAAATGACCTCAAAACATGACATTTGATCTTATCGATCATACCATATCCTATTCTAAAATTTCCCGCTCTTTCCAAATCCGGGGTCGAAAATAAGCAATTCCATTTAAAAGATGTTATTTGACCTTCAAATAACCCCTAAGGTCAAAGTCAAGGTCAAATTCAAGGATATGGTCATACGTCCCCCTCCTTGTCCAACAACTTTTGTATGAAACTTTTTTCATTATTTCGCTCACCGGTCGAGTTATTCTCCATTAAAGGTTAAAATGGTCCACCCTGTATATATCATTGTCGATATTCTGAGGATATTCTGAGAACAATGTTCCTGCGGACATAGGAATGTTCTGAGTGTATCGAGACATGATGTTTTTAGAATATTATCAAGATATTATGTTATCTGGGACATATCCAATTATACATATTGAAATTAATAATAATTATTATACTTACATAATCTTGAAATTTTTCTTTCTTAACATTCAGTGCTTGTACGATGTTGTTTTCTACTTTATTTCTGGCAATTGTCCTTAATTTTGTAGTCCTCTTTTTTTCCTTGACATTATATAATATAAAAAACTTATACTAATTATATTATACTATACTAATTATATTATATTGTATTATACTAATTATATACCTATACTAACTTATGCCTTGGTAGAAATAAGTATGAAAAGTATATCAAATATAATCAATATCAATTAAAAATTGAATTAATTTGAAATTCATAAAAAATATTAAGATTTATTTACTTTAAAAATTGATTCTTTTTAATTGATATAAATGCTATTTTTCGCAGGATATTTTCTTGGGAAATTTTTCTAAAATTCTATTAAAACAATAATTTGACAAAAATAAGCAAAATTTATTTCAAATTAACAGTGTATTTTTAAGGAAAATTAAAAACAAGGAAATAATTTCTATGAAACAGTAATTAAATATGTCATTGATGATATTCAGTAAAATAAGAAAAGTTAATGTATTAAGCAGAGGAACAGTAAAATTCAACAAAATTATAAAAAACAGAATTAATAAGATTAAAGAAAACCGTTAGTGAAAATAAAATCATATACATTTTTTAGATTTTACCTTTTGATTCTTTTTAAAATCATTTTCAATAGAGTCTTCATCTTCGGAAGTTGTCTCCAGGTCGAAATGTTTCCGTTTTAGCATCTTTCTATCAGTTTTTGATGGGTTTGGAATTTCAAACTTCAATACATTATCGCACTGCTTACACATTTCGGTCCATTCTAATAATTATAAATATGATTTGAAAATATAACATTTGTAATTATAGCGTTAAAAATATTGTGTGCATATTCTGCTCGAAAAATTGTTAAAAATTTTTTTGGAAATGTCTCGAAATAAAAACCGTTTTCAAAGAATTTTTAAATAAATATTATATCTGAGAATGTCTTAAATTCTTTACAAAATTAAGATCACGAATATACAATTTCAAAGATTTTGTAGAAAATATTACAAGAAATTTTTATATATTTTCTGTAAAAATCTCCTGAAAACGATTTCAATTGCAATATACTTTCAGAAAAGTTCGTGTTAACAAACAATGTGATTTTTCAACAACTTTTTTCTAGCAGAATATAAAAATAAAAATGTTTCCATGAGCACGAGCAAAGTGTGCTGGTGAATAAATTTTTGTTCACATGCTACGTATATCTATATTTATATAAATTATATATTATTATGTTGTTTTAGTACTAAATATTTATTTCCAATGCAAATGTATTAAATTCAGTAGAGTAGAGAAAATATGTTCAGATGTAATAAAAGAAATGTCTTACTGTTAATAAAATATAACAAGAAAATTGTATTAATATTTTTAATATATGCAATTAAATATGTAAACTAAATATTTACATGCGCTGATATGATGCGAATAATAAAAAGATGTGAGATGTGTACCATGCACATAGCACTAAAATCTCTAATGTTTTTGTCGTTCATAATCAGTATGTAATTGCTTTTAATTTACATATTTAATTGCGTGTATTAAAAATATTACTTTATTATATTTTTTTAACAGTAAGACATTTTCTTCTATTACATTCAAAACAATTTTTTTTCTTTCTATTAAATTTAATATTTGCACTGGAAACATTAGGTTTGTTCGTTTTACTTGCACTCGTTGCACTTATATTTCAGTAAGTTCCTAGTGGGTTTAAAAAGTGCAATGTCTGATTTAGTTACTTGTAATGTTTAACTCGAACGATTAAGTGCAGAGAAGAGAAGACTAAGTGCAAAGAAAATGGAGCATTTAGTAGGTATGTATTTATTAATATTATTTATTTATTTAACTTTTCTGCTGTTTTTATGATATTTATTTAATATTTAAGATGAAGAAGCAGTATTACCTGTAATGGCTGTACCGTATTATTATGAAGCTCAACGTCATAGAGGTAACAAAAATATATATTTCTTTTTGTTTATTTTGTGAGGTTATAAATGCTAATGAGAAATTAAATTTTAATATTTTATTTTAGATGAAGTATTACGTTTGCTTCAAGATGCGTTAGAAGGAATACGACGTTTAGAACATATAAAAACGAAAATTACGTAGAAAACGTCGTTAGGAATTATATAAATAAAGATTTTGTCATGCACTTTCGCTTATCTCGAAGTATTACTTATCAACTTATTGCACGTTTTGAAAGATCGGATATTTTTACATCTTTACGAGGTATTGTATTATTAATATCAAAAATCATTTAATTTAGATAATTATAAAACAATCATTTTTTACCTTTCCTCTCTTTATATATGTATATTAAAAATTGCAGAATACGCAGGATACAAGCCAAGAACATCAGAAAAACATATTTTAAGTTATTTATGGTTCCTCGGTCACGAGAGTGCAAGATATCGGGATGTAGCTGATCGGTTTGCAATTACAATAAGTACATTGCATGTTATAATTACAAGAGTTACAACATTTTTAATGCAAATTGCGCCAGAGATAATAAGATTTCCTATGTTAGAAGAAAAAGAAACGACAATGAGATATTTTCTGCAGGAGAAAGGATTCCCTGGAATTACTGGTAAGTTACAATTTATTTGTTATATTATACATTTATTGTAAACGAAAATTTTATGCAATATTTATTTCCAGGTGCAATGGATGGCACGCACATTAGAGTTGACAAGCCCGAAGAAGATCCTGATTCGTACATAAACAGAAAACAATATTTTTCTATACACATGCAAGGTACAGTTGATCATAAATGAAATTTCTGGACGTTTTTATTGGTTTCCCAGGATGAGTTCATGATGCAAGAGTTTTCCAGAATTCTCCTTTATATGAGTCTCTTCAAGAAATTTGCACAGGTTAGAGATTCCATGAATTATCTATAAATATAAAGATGTCATGCTTCTAGAATCAATAGAATGGTTCTTCAATAATTAAAATGTACTGAATTAAAATCTATTCTAGGAGGATCTTATTTACTTGGAGACAGTGCGTATTCCTGTTTACCATATTTAATGGTTCCATACAGAGATAATGGGCACCTTACTCGAGCGCAAAGAAATTTCAATCAACGATTGAGTTCATGCCGTGTAGTAGTGGAAAATACATTCGGTTGTTTGAAGCAGAGATTCAGGCAACTATATCACTTAAAATTACGGAACATTATACGCATGGTACAAGTTATACATGCTTGTTGTGTTTTACACAATTTAGCAAATTTAAACGATTTAGAATTTTTCGAACCTATAAATAATAATGAAGATCCTGACCCAGAAGCTATAATTATAAATAATGCAAATTATAACGAAATAATTCTTGATAATCATCTTGGTCGCGAATTACAAGATGAATTATGTCGTCAATTATTAATACATTAATTATAAGGAAATACATTAATTGTACTCACTATAAAAATAAATTTAAATGTAAGAAAGAGTTATTTAATAAATGTAAGAGTATGAGTTAAAAAAAATTATATTTTATGTTAATCTATTTATTTTACATTATAACATATAAGATTTTGAATAAAACTTTTTGTTCAGTCAATTTTTATTCTGTCTTTAATACGCTCATATAAACACCTACGCTCATATAAACATAAATTATTACTGATAATAATCAATAAAAATACTTATAATTATTCCTTTTTTTAAAACTCTAAGCAAACGAAACATTGACTTTAAGAAAAACAAAAAAAATAATCTATGAAGGAATAACATAAAAAAACCAAATATTTTTGTTCAAAGTAACGAAATTGGTATAATTATAAATATAATTATACTTTTTTTACATAAAGATTATACTTGTACACAAAAAGATGAATAATATTTAATCGCAATATTGCAACAATCTTTAAGAATCTTTAACAGTTTTCGTTGTAAAAGTGACTTGCAATTTCTGCTAAAATTCTATTTCTTTCAACTTCTCGTGCATTAATTATAGCCCACTGTTGTTTTGCAGATTTAACAAAATCATCTTGAATTTTCTTGATATCTTTATATTCTTCAAGTATTTGTAATTGAATGCTTTCGTTATTTTGTCTTTCAGATCTTATTTCTGAGATATATGTATCCAGAGCGAGTTGACATTTCTTTAAATATTCTGCAGTTGTACCACCTTTAACCTTCATTTTTTGTGAAAATCTGTTTTTATTTACGATATGTGGAATATCATTTGAAGTTTCTGCTGCGGCTCCACTTATGTTGCTTACTGCTGATATTGCTGATATTGTATTAATAGGTTCTTCATTATTTATCGAGTCGTCCAATCTGTATTATAAAAAGTTTCAGTTAAAACATATAGCTATATATAGTTCATTTATTATTAATAATATTTACAATATATCATTTTGTACATCTGAAAACGGTTCTCTAAGCAACAAGCCAGTTCTACCTGATAACGCCAGTGGCGCTATATTATGTTTCTTTCCAAATATATCAATTAATTCACTGTAATGTGAAAAATAATCTAATTATATATTGCTTTATAACTACTTATATTACATATAACACAATGTTGGGAGCTACTTACGCTTCAAAATTACAAATTTTTCTTTCACGGCCAGTTTTTTTATTATTGCTCATTACATTTTTATATAAGCGTAACAAAGACTTCAATTTGTTTTCAACTTGTAAAGCAGTTACAGAATAACCTTTACGCCTCATATCCTCTGCAATATGTTTCCATAAAATTGTATAGGTTTTGATTTTTCTTGTGCTTACGAGGTCTTTTTTACGTTTATATATTTCTAGAAACAATTTTGTTGTTGCATCGTCCCATGTAAAATTATTTTCTTCCATCGGATCTTTATTTTATACATTTTCTTCATTTTGTATATTTTCATTTGATATATGTATAGTTTGATTTGTTTCATTGCTTGTTTTAGGTAAATTAATAATAACATCAATCCCTTCTACATTAAACTGTAAGATATCAGGCAGAAAGTCTACTTCGTCACTTTTTATTTTGAATTGTTTCCCATCTAAAGAAATAAATACAAAATAAATACAAAAAAGATAAAAAGATTCCCATACAATTTCATTATATAATGTATTTTATTATATACTTAATTCACAGTAAACATACAAACATATTAGTTGATGCAGCAGTAAAGAGTAACATTACATTATTATTTCTCTCTCAACAATGTAAATATAATATATGTTGTATATACAGTTATATTAATGTTATTATTTCTCACACAGCAATTTAACTGTTACATATGTAACAGTTAAATTGCTGTGTATTAATATAACTGTATGTTACTTTCTGTTGAAATTAACAGCCCAAATAGTGCCAAACCTGCACCAAAACAGATTTTGTACAGAGGCTGCTGATTTTGTCAGCATTTGCTAGCAGAAAAACAACAGGATCTGATAACAGATTGATAGAATCAGCAGAAATCAAACAGAGTGTCATTTCAATGTAATTAAGTGGGATATACTGCAGATTTTACTCGTTTAGTGCCACCAATCTACTATCAGATTCTACCACTAGGTTTAATCAACAGAATAACAATAGAACATAGATGACTATGGATCTGTCGACCTGTTCGAATCTGTCACCAATCTGTTATCAAACTGCTGACGAATTATTGACTGGTAAGTTAATATGGTATAGAACTATACAGCAGTTACATTACATACCTTCAATTTCGCAATATAAATATCCATCTGCATCTATTAATACGGCTCCTGCTTCATTTCTTCTTATCCATCCACGTTTTGTTCTCGCTATTAATAATTTACAAATTAAAATTGAAGTTTCTAACCTAACAAGAAGATGACGCAACCTATTTCATCGATTTCAACACGAGTCATAGCACACTCGATAGCTATGATGCCGTGTATAAACGCCCTAACATAATATGCATGAATGTGTCTTTGTTTACGAGTAATTTGCAGTTAAAATTTGGCTCGCGGAGCCGTGCCACACATAGGGCGCAAGTTACGACACACTTTCACGAAGTCGGCGTGGCTGAGCAGACAGAGGCTCCCGCGCCGCGAACACTTTTGCGCCGACGACGGCGTTCGAGTCCCACCGACGACTGGTTCGTTTTTTTTTCGTATGTAAAGACATGTAACAAATATTTTTATATTGTTCTTATGTATAATTCCTTTTTTGTTTCTACGCTATTAATCAAGGCTAATTAGGAGAGTCAGGTCTTTCAAATATGGGGCGTGCGTGCGTGCGTGCGTGCGTGCGCGCGCGCGCACATATATTAACATGTCTGATGTACATAAGCAAAAATTTTTTGCTACAATTTTTTGCAATATTTAAATACTTTCAGTTTCAATTGCCGCCAGGTATTTTTTATACAACTAATTCAATTTTTTGTGTTTGCATAGATAAGTCAAGAAAGTCCTTGTTTGAATGAGAATTTTTGTTCAAAGTTCAGTCGAACAGAAGAGATTAATGTAGTTGGAAGTAGTAGTAGCATGGTAAATAAAGTTATACCAATATTTTCATCTGAGAAATATTCTGATTCCAAGGGTCTTCCAAACAGCAATAGAAATGTTGATGACATTTCATCGTGCTTAAGTCATAATGGAAGTGATAGTTTGTTATACAGATAACTCATCAGAGTATGAAATTGATTTAGTCTCTGACATGGACGAATATGAAGAAATCCCTATTGCTGAAGATAACGATAATGTTATTGATAATGCCAATGATCAAAATCAACACATGGAGCAGGTAATATATACATGTATCTTACAGAATATCGCTGATAATTACTTTGATGGAAAATTATTTAGAACAATTTATCAACTATACAAAAAACTGTAGAACTACTTTTTCGTATGTGGTTAGTGAATCATTTTAAATAGTTTTTTATTAGACATGGTTAACAGATATGTACTGTGGTATCTGTGCATAAATAAAGTCTTGCTTATGTTACAAAGTTTGTTTGCGTCACATGCCTCAACATACTTCTACTCACTCCAAAGCGCTTAAATTAGTCTGTGATTGGATTGCAGATTGGAGTAATTGGACTATGTTGAAGCATGCAACGCAAACAAATCTATAGTTATGTTTTGTACACAGTGCCGTTAAAAGGTTTCTGAACATCTCACCAAAATGAAAATATTAAATGTTTAAAGTTTTATATCTCGGTCAAACATTTTTGTGGATAAAATTTTAACTTATTTCAAAAAGAATATAGCATTCTTTAAGATGAGATTTGGTAATTTTATTGTAATGAATAATGTTAAATTTTTTCATGTTACAGTTTCGCCAAATACTATACGAAGGATGCAATTTTTCAAAAGAAGGAAGCAAAATGCTGCTTGTGAGTTTGGTTCTTCGTCATCAATTGACCGATGCTGCGTTGGAATCTTTTATTCAAGTAATTGATTGTCATCTTCCTCGTACACATCATACTTCCAAATATTTATTATTAAAGTCATTACCAGAAAATAAAGCGTGTAAATATTATTACTGTATGAAATGTTATATGATGTTAAATTTATATACCGATAATGAAATGAAATGTGATGTTTGTTTGTTCGCAAAAATTTACGAAAAAAAGTATCTCGATATAAGAAACAAATACTTTTTGCATATTCCACTCAAAGAACAATTAATAGAGTTAGTAAAGTCTGAAGATTTTGCACAATTTCGAAAAACAAATGAAATGAAAAGTGATGTCATTAATGGAAACATTTACCGTAATTTAAGAATGAGAAATATTGTTGGAGATAATGACATAACCCTCCAGTGGAATTCAGATGGAATACAATTATTTAAATCTTCCATGTCATCCATTTGGCGGATTTTAGTTACAATAAACGAATTGCCTTATCGTTTACGAAGGCGACACATTCTTTTAGCTGGCATATGGTTAGATACATCTGTGAAAGCAAATATGAATATTTTTCTTCAACCATTCGTTGATGAACTTATTGACTTACATAATAATGGTTTTATCACAACAACATTTATGCATAAGGGAGCAATATGTATTAAAGTTCACACACTTGTAGCTCCTGTTGATTCAATAGCAAGGTCGATAATACAAAATATGAAGCAGTTTAACGGTAAATATGGATGTTCGTATTGCTATAAAAAAGGAACAGTAGTTAATACAAGAAACGGGGGCTTCAAACGCGTTTATTGTGGAGATCTTCATGCTTTGCGGCAAAAACATCAACATAACAAACATGTTAAAAAAAGTATTTCGAAAAATAATTCTGTTAAAGGAGTCAAGGGTCCTTCAGTAACACAACTTATACCGCTATTTGACATAATTAAGGCTTTTCCCGCCAGATTATATGCACAGTGTTGCAGAAGGCGTGATTAAACAGTTTGTTATGGCGTGGTTTGATTCCAGCAATCATGACAAAGAGTGGTATTTAAGGAAATACCAACAAGTTTTTGATAATAGGTTGACAAGTATACTCCCTCCATCAGAAATAACACGAACACGATCGATAGTTTTAAGAAAATTGTTTAAGGCATCAGAATGGAAAAATTTTTTATTGTACTATTCATTGCCTTGTTTAAGTGGATTAATGCCACAGAAATTCATTAAACATTGGCTACTTTTTATATTTAGTATAAATATTTTTCTACAAACACACATTTCTGATGATAAATTTATCGCTGCTGAACAAGCATTACGAACATTTGTCTTGCAAATAGAAAAATTGTATGGAGATGATTTCATGAATTACAATATTCATTTGTTATTGCATATACCTGCATCAGTGAAACATTATGGTGCCCTTTGGGCTTGGTCAACCTTTCATTTTGAAGGCTTTAATCGAATATTAAAAACTTTATTCAATGGTTCACAATGCATAGCGCAACAAATATTTAAGTTTTATTCTAGGTTAAGATTTATTAACTATAACAGATCGACTTTTACTGGTGACAATTGTAGTTTAAAAGGCAAAGCTATTTTTGATTCATTAATGAAAGTATGTCATATTAAAAAATGCACGGAATACGAAAATTCTTTAAAAGCATTTGGAATGAAAAGACAAATAGTGTTAACTATCACAGAAAAACTTGTTGTAGAAGAATGAATAGGAGAACCAATCGAAAACACAGCTTTCACTTTTGATCGATTTATTTTTAAAAATATTCTTTACCATACTTCAAATTATTCTAGATTATTGAAACGAAATAATAGTACAATATTAACAAAGCATGGATCAATATTGGATATATTGCATTTATATACCGTGACAAAAACAAATAGTGGAACTGAAATTAATTTATTATTATGCAAAGAATATTGTATTTTGCCAGAAGAAATATGCAAAAATAATTGCGTATCTTACAAAAATTTTAGTTTTATTACGAAAAAAACTGATAATATTAAAGGTTGTCTATTGGATGTAATTAAAAGTAAATGCGTTGTTATATTCCAATAAAAAACAATTTATCATACCTATTGTTAATACAATCGAAACCGATTAATTTCTAGACACAGAGCGAGAGATATGAATAAATAATGCGCTTGATTTGTGGAGTAAATATATATACAATATATTATATTTTATTATTAAGTATATAATAGTTTCGTAATAATTAATGTATCTTGTAATAAATAAAAATATATATGTATATTAAACAGTATGTTGTAACATTTTATATTGCTCATTAATATATTTATTATTATTTATTATGTAAAAATGTATAATAGTAATTACATTATATTATATATACATGCATGTATATAATGTAATTACTATATGTGTACACACACACACACACACACATATACATACATGCTGTGTATATATTACTAGATTTTAGAAATATTTTACCGTTTTGTATGATGATGTCAAAATGGCGAACACGGCCAGGTATGCACAC